GCACTTACTTGAATATGCATACAATACAAGAGTGCTGATGTAACCAATCCTTATGCAGAATTCTGATCATTCACTCAAAAAACTAGCTTCAAAGCCTACAATGTAAATGTATGTGTTTGAATGTGTTTATAATTTTAGCTGTATTAATGGGATTATGCATGAAGAAAAGTTAAATTTAACAAAATGTTACAAAACAAAATGGTATTAATCCTCCCAAGCAATCTACCCTAAATATCTAGGATTACATTACACAATAAGTCATGTTTGCAAGATTTAAAGCATTGGAAATGAGCAAGAGCACCTGTTTGTGCAGCATGACTAACATGGCCCTTTGAGTATTTACTAAGCTGAAAAGAATAAATAGAACTGTGCAGATGGTGAAGTGCAAGAAAATAATTACCAAATAATGTAAGCAAATGACTAGAATGAGAGCAGGTTTTAAATTACTTAGAAAGAACTTGAGTATGCTTCTTTAAATCCATATTAAAATATAACTAATAAGACTAAAATATATTTCAATTTTACAATATGTGTAACATCCAGATTTCTAAAATGTGGTTTATGTGGTTAATATAATCTTAGTTGTGTTTCATATTGTTGACATAAAATGGGGAATAGTTATCAGTGTCAACATTCTTTTATTTTCCACATTGCATGACTGTGTGGGTGCAAGACTACCTGGTATTATCAGTGGGCAACTGAAACATGTATGTAGTGATTCACAGACAACAGAGAATGGAACATTTGGGAACTAATTAAGGAGAATATATATTGATAATAGTCAAGAGAAACTGTCATCCATACCAGAAACCTCTTTGATGTGCTAAAATGCCAGAGGAATGTAACATATATAGAAACTCTCTATAAATCTGTTTTAAACCTTTGCCAAATTCTGCAAACTTTTCATAACTAAGCACATGCAATTGTGTGCTGTTTAGAGTCCCCCACTGCCATCCAGCTTTAGACATGGACTCTAAAGCAGTAATTTAGCTCTTGATATCCTAAATCTCTACTTCCAATAGACCATAAAAGACAATTCTAAGGTATGGGTCTCTCTCTCTCCTTTTCTCTCACTTTTCTGTCTCTCTCTATCCCCCTCCCACCTCTTCCCTTCTCTCCTCCATATCCCCCCCCTCCTTTCCACACCTCTCCACCTCTTTCCCCCCTCCTTTCCACACCTCTCCACCTCTTTCCCCACCTCTCCCCCTCTTTCCTCTGACCTCTCCCTCTCTTCCCTCCCACCGCTTCACCTCTTTCACCCAACTCTCCCTCTCCTTCCCCCCACCTCTCGCTATCTTTCCCCCACCTCTCCCTCTATTCCCACCCACCTCTCCCTCTCTTTCACCACAACATCAAATATAGTCTAATTAGTAGTTGCCTTCTCACTTGTAGTTACAGTAAGAATAGCAAAATATATTTATACTGTGGTGTCCTAAAACCTAGAAATGTGTTCTGTGGTGTTCCTTGTTAGGTATACAGGTAAGCCTCAGAAAGAAGGCAAAAACATTCCATGTTAGTTACATAGGCTGAAAAAAGAGGTGTTGATCCAAAAACAAGGCAAAATAATCCATTTTGAAGTTAGGATATAATATATACATTTACACTGAGGAGTCGTTAGTCTAAGACAAAAGGGTATATATGACCATGCATAAAGCCAACAGTTAATAGTGACAAGTCCAAAACCAAATGCAAATGTAACAGTAATTGAGTTTATGCAAGTGCCTTTGGGACAAATGACATATCAGGGCTATCAAGGTAATATGTGAAGGAGATAATATATCTGAATATGAGAACTATGTAAACCCAATTATATGAATAGAATATGCTGACCCTTTATACGCGTTGAATACAGATGTAATCTGTAAAAATGGATAATCTAAACAAAACTGTATAACAAAATATAACCATACCATAAACGGTTTATACACAGTATCTTACAAAAATGAGTACACCCCTCACATTTTTGTAAATATTTTATTATATCTTTTCATGTGACAACACTGAAGAAATTACGCTCTGCTACAAAGTAAAGTAGTAAGTGTACAGCATGTATAACAGTGTAAATTTGCTGTCCCCTCAAAATAACTCAACACACAGCAATTAATGTCTAAACCATTGGAAACAAAAGTGAGTACACCCTAAGTAGAAATGTCCAAATTGGGCCCAAAGTGTCAATATTTTGTATGGTCACCATTATTTTCCAGCACTGCCTTAACCCTCATGGGCATGGAGTTCACCAGAGCTTCAAAGGTTGCCACTGGAATCCTCTTCCACTCCTCCATGACAACATCACGGAGCTGGTGGATGTTAGAGACCATGCGCTCCCCTACCTTTTGTTTGAGGATGCCTCATAGATTCTCAATAGGGTTTAGGTCTAGAGACATGCTTGGCCAGTCCATCCCCTTTACCTTCAGCTTCTTTAGCAAGGCAGTGGTCATCTTGGAGGTGTGTTTGAGGTCATTATCATGGTGGAATACTGCTCTGTAGCCCAGTCTCTGTAGGGAAAGGATCATGCTCTGTTTCAGTATGTCACAGTACATTCATGGTTCCCTCAATGAACTGTAGGTCCCCAGTGCCGGCAGCACTCATGCAGGCCATGACACTCCCACCACCATTGTTGACTATAGGCAAGACACACTTGTCTTTATACTCCTCACCTGGATGCCGCCACACACGCTTGACACCATCTGAACCAAATAAGTTTATCTTGGTCCCATCGCACCATTGGACATGGTTCCAGTAATCCATGTCCTTAGTCTGCTTGTCATCAGCAAACTGCTTGCGGGCTTTCTTGTACATTATCTTTAGAAGGGGTTTCCTTCTGGGACAACAGCCGTGCAGACCAATTCGATGATACAGTATGCGGCATATGGTGTGAGCACTGACAGGCTGACCCCCCACCCTTTTCAACCTATACATCATACATCTATTTCCCAAAGACAACCTCTGGATATGGCGCTGAGCATGTGCACTCAACTTCATTGGTTGACCATGGCGAGGCCTGTTCTGAGTGGAACCTGTCCTGTGAAACTGCTGTATGGTCTTGCCCACCGTGCTTCAGCTCAGTTTTAGGGTCTTGGAAATCTTCTTATAGCCTAGGCCATCTCTATGTAGAGCAACAATTCTTTTTTTCGGATCCTCAGAGAGTTCTTTGCCATGAGGTGCCATGTTGAACTTCCAGTGACCAGTATGAGAGAGTGTGAGAGCGATAACACCAAATATAACACCATTCACACCTGAGCCCTTGTAACACTAACAAATCACATGACACCGGGAAGGGAAAATGGCTAAATTTGTGTTTATGTATTTATAGACATACACATATATTCTGAGATAGATATTACTTAAATTTTCCTGAAACTTTAAAAAAAAAAAAAAATCTATATTTTAGTAGCCTGCCATGTGAACCTATATTTTTGGGCAGTAATCGTGATATATGAAAAATATATAAATGTGACCCATAAAAATAAGTATTCCTCAGAATTCCTGTTGGGAATTTAGAAATTGAAATTGTGAAAGTTTTCTCATTATTCCAGAATATAAAATCCATAAACATTTTAGCAGGAACATTATGTATTATCTTTTGGGAAATTTATGGGTGTTGAAAACAAATAAAGACTTGAATATAATACAGAATTTAGAAACCATTAGAGACTCTTATTTTGTTTTTGAGTAGACAGAATCTACTTGGCAGCTTTAAATCATTAACCCTTAAACTACATTGAGGCACATCTAAACAATATCAGCCACTTAGAAAATGGACACAAATTTAATTTCACATTTTCTAAAAACAAAGTGAGACTTAAAGGCAGTATGCCATTAAAGAAAGAAAAAATATCTAAAATAATAATACTGATAAAAAATACAATTTATATATATTTCATGATACAAACAAAGCATTGTGTTTATACACTTTTAAATGTATTTCTGTGTATGAAGGCACTGAGATATAGTCTTACTCTTTGATAGAATAGGTTGTGACATTAACCCACGCAGTCTGCAATGCATTGCTGAACTCAATCCTTTATGGTTCATACTAATTCTGATTAAATCTATAAATCTAACACAATGTACCCCCCCTCCCTCCCAGTTACAGTCACCCCAGGAAATTGTCTTTTCAAATCATAAGTCTCAACTGTGGGCTTTGATTACATTACATCTTAATTACAAACATACATTAATTAGCTATGACATGTATAGGATATACTCTGTATGAATGCTAAATTAAGTTATAGTTCATAAATTTCAGAAAATACCCATTTCAGTTAATCCTGAGTAAGCCCCATCCCATGTGGCAGATTATTAAATATTTTTATCCAATATTGCTGAACATTTTACACACCTATTTGACTTATGTGTATCTTGCTATTCAATCAAGACATATTTTATATATGTCTAATAGCTTGAGTACTACTTGCCAAAAACTCTCACAAGTAAGTATTATCCAATCGAACAAGCGTTTAATTTCCATTCTTAATGCGTGCTTCTTTTGGCTTATTCCCCATTCTTTTTATATTAGAGCCCTGTTATCTACTAACTTGTAATATATACTTGAGTAGTATATAATGAAGGAGTGACCATTTAGATGTTGCTAGATCTCCAGTGGAATAATTATTCTATGAAACTACTTATTATTATAGGCTTGCATTTAAGGTGTTCATCATTTTTGCCTTTTTAAATTTTTTTATTTTTTATTTTGGAGTCACAGGTTCCATTTATACCTTATTCTAATACAATGTTAGGCTTGCGCATTGCACATCTATTCCTACGTCCCTACAGTTATCATCGACACAGTAATTAACAAATACCCAAAGTATCCTGAATTGTTGTGTATCTGTACTTGTGTTTATCTGATGTATTGGACATTAACTATTTTTGTTTTCATGAATAAATCTGTTTTTAATTAATGCAGTTATTAATCAAGCAATCTTATGATTTCGCTATCCCTCTTTTTTAGTAAGACTTTTTTAACAAGATATTATTTATCTTTCTTTTAACAGGGACAATTATTGTGGACAACATGCAAATCAAAGGAACAGCAGGAGGTACAAATCCTACTATTGAAATTTCTCTGAAAGATAATGTTGATTACTGGGTGATTCTGGATCCAAAAACACAGACGTTGTATCTCAATAGTACAGGACGTGTTCTGGACAGAGATGTAAGTTTTTGTATTTTTTATTTTTGTCTTGCCTTTAGTGACTTTTTTACAATAATGCAACACAAGAAATTTACTGATAACTTTGCTCCCCAAGAAATATGTGAAAATACGTATCTGTAGAGTATATTTATTTATGCTTTTACAAATATAGGTGCAATGGTGTTTTTTTTTTTTTTTTTAGGAACATCCATAAAATTTTGCAGTATTACAAATATTTGCGTTGGCCTGAAAATAATCCTTTGACATCTTTTAAATAAAGGGGAGGGATGTCTAGCTAATTAAAATGTCTCTTTAGCGAAGTTCATTTATATTATATCTTGGTTTCTCAACTTGCTATATCCATTTTACAAAGTATATAGCATTGGATATATGAAACCCCATTTAGTAAGCACTGGCCGTATGTGCATCATGTTTACTCTTAAAATAGGGTGCCATATTTCTCTTGATGCTAATGACTGCCATGAATGGTTTAATAAGGAGTTCTTAAAGCTATATCTGTCAAAACTGTACAATCAATGATAACTCGATTTACTGACCATAACTCTTCTTCAGAACACAGTCACATACAACATGTTTAAGAGATTAAGATTTTGAGACAGATGTTGATGTTTTTGTCCAATATTTGGGTGATTTTGGGTCAATATCTTGAAATGTAAAAATGTAATGGAATGCCTTTGTGTGAAGTTTTTTACCCATGCTTCTTACTTTGTAACATTTTAAGTGGTCAAGCTGGGGCACTTACATTTTGGGGTTGAAGTTTGAAATCTAACTAGGACATGATTTTTCCAAAACATAAAATAATTCCCAGGACAGTAATCTAAGACACAAAAAGGCATTTGTGAGAAATTTTGGAGCTTTTAAGAAGCATATATAAATGCATACAATATATTTTTTTTCTTAATGCCCAGATAAAACCTCTTATAGCAAAAAGCACATTGCAAGCAATCACATTAGTAATGGTCAATTCCTTTCAAGTGCCACATCTGGGCTAGAATAGTATTAAGAATTGCAGATTTGTTGCTTGGTTAATGTTTAGATTAAATCTGAACTTCAAACATCAGTTGAATTGGCATTTGTTGGTATTCAGTAAATGTCACTGAATAAAGGCACGGTTTGTAGACTCATTCAGGTACAAGTTAGCAAATGGCAAATTATCTAAAGCAAGTTTGTTGTTCAAATTTCAATTCTTTTTACGGTTGTATTTTTTCTCTCTCACTCCTGTTCTATTTATAGACTTAAATTGTTCATACATTTCTCAATGGGCAATACGCATCAATATTTATCAATATGCTTATTGATATGCTAAACTGACTTTTCCTACATTATGCTTTGACCTCCCTTTCTTATCTGCTTTTATCTTCTCATTTCTTATAAATTGAGCGCATATCAAACGAACATAGGCCTCACTTTAATATTCTTAATATTCTTTAATATTTGTAACTTTTTAAATGATTTAATACTGTGAAAAAATATAAAAAATTTAAATCTATTTTAAATATAATATATTTTTTGATAATTTAAAATTTTTAAAAGTTAGTTAATCAAAATATATTAAATCATGTGAAAAACATATAAAAAAATATTAAATCAAGGGTAAAATATCCTAAGCAACAAATGCAAGCTTTCAGACTCTGTAGCAATTATCTTCTCTTCTATCCTCTACACTTACAAACCCATCTCAACGCTTGTACTCTATCTGAGCCATTGTATCCAGGGCCGTCTTTAGTGCGGGGCAAACGGGGCAGCTGCCTTGGGCCCAGTTGCTCCTGGGGAGTCCCAGAGCAGCTTCCCCATGGGCCCTGTGATTTGCACAGCCCCCTGCACACTAAGGAGGCCCCCCAGGTGGACCATGCACTAAGGGCCACCCGGTGAGCATGTGTCAGCCGGAGCCCAGTTGGGCGATGTGATGCTTAAATAGTGTGTCCGGGCCCCTTCCTTTTGGGCAGCCGGCTGGGAGGAAGTGAGTGCCGCGCGTGTGTGTCAGTATGTCTGTGTGTGTGTATCAGTATGCCAGTGTGTGTCAGTATGTGTGTGTTTGTATGTCAGTATGCCTGTGTGTATGTGTCAGTATGTCTGTGTCTCAGTATGTCTGTCAGTATGTCTCTCTTTGTGTATGTCAGTATGACAATGTGTGTGTTTGTCAGTATGTCTCTCTTTGTGTATGTTAGTATCTCTGTGTTTGTGTATGTCAGTATGTCTGTGGGTGTGTGTGTGTGTACGTCAGTATGTCTGTATGTATGTCAGTATGTCTGTGTGTGTACGTCAGTATGTATGTGTGTACGTCAGTATGTCTGTGTGTATGTCAATATGTCTGTGTATGTCAGTATTTCTGTCAGTATATCTAAGTGTGTGTTTTTATGTCAGTATGTCTGTGTGTGTACATCAGTATGTATGTGTGTACGTCAGTATGTATGTGTGTACGTCAGTATGTATGTGTGTATGTCAGTATGCCTGTGTATGTCAGTATTTCTGTCATTATGTCTGTGTGTGTCAGTATGTCTATGTGTGTGTTTTTATGTCAGTATGTCTGTGTGTGTGTGTGTGTCAGTATGTCTGTGTGTGTATGTCAGTAGTATGTCTGTGTTTGTGTGTCAGTATGTCTGTGTGTGTGTCAGTATGTCTATCTGTGTGTATCAGTATGCCTGTCTGTGTGTATGTCAGTATGCCTGTCTGTGTGTATGTCTGTGTGTGTATGTCAATTTGTCTCTGTGGGTGTGTGTGTCAGTGTGTGTGTGTGTATGTGTGTCATTATGTCTGTGTCAGTATGTTTGTGTGTGTGTATGTCAGTATGTCTGTGTGTGTGTATGTGTGTGTCAATAGTATGCCTGTGTTTGTGTGTCAGTATGTCTGTGTGTATGTCAGTATGTATGTGAATGTGCATGTGTCAATATGTCTGTCTGTGTGTGTCAGTATGCCTGTGTGTGTGTCAATACATCTGTCAGTGTATGTGTCTATGTATGTATGTATGTCTGTGTGTGTCTGTCAGTGTGTCTGTGTGTTTGTCAATACATCCGTCAGTTTATGTCTGTGTGTGTTTCAGTCTGTTCAGTTGACTGTCACACACTGGGATTTTGTACTTTTTTGTTTAGACATTGTATTACTTTACATGATTCTACCTTTAATTTTACCGGTTGCTATCTGTCCCTAATTATCCTCTAGATCAGTGGTTACCAAGCCAGTCCTTATGACCCACCAACCGTCCAGGATTTGTTAGTATCTCTATTGAAATAAAGAGGTAAATCCGTAAAGCCCGGATTGTTGCTGGGCCATTAATACTGGTTTGGAAACCACTACCCTAGATGAATGGACATTGATAAACGTGTTCCATATACTTCTCAAAGGTACTGCATTCATTTTTTTTGGATTTGTCCATGAAAAATAAGTGCACTTAATCTGTGGTTTGGTGAGTTCCCAAACTTTCTCTGTATATTTATATAGAAGGTTCAGACATTCAAAGAATCTTATAAAGTGCAGACTTTTATAGGAACAGCAAGCCAGGGTGACAATATTTTAGAAGCCAACTGTGACCTTTGTTCTATGAGTGGCTGGACCTTCTATCTAAATACACATTGATAAACTTGTTAACTCATCAGTACTGAACATAGTCACATGGATCATGAACGTGCCTCTATCATTGTTCTCACTTCACAAATCCATTAATTCCCTTTTGGGTATATTGTTTAATCCTCTACAATCCCATTTTGGTATATTGTACCTTTACAGCTATTGTAAGCTCATTTCAGAGGAAGTTCATAACAGCTTGTTCCGGTTTGCCTAATATATTTTTTGCTTGTACTTAATATTTATTTAGAATACTTACAGTATTTACTGTGGAATGTTTTGGCAATTCATTAATAATAGTAATAATATAACTTAAGGCTTCATTATGGTTATTATGTAATATATTAACTGAAAAATACCCTTTTTAGATTATTGAGAATTTCATAATCGCAAAATGGTCCGTTTTTCATGTTGACAATAGATATATCATTCACTTTAACTTGTTCTGCAAAATAAGATAATACAATTTTGTTTCTCAGGCCTATCTCTACCTGATCACACTTAAAGTACATGCTAAACTACTGCAAAATGTAAATTTGGAAGTGCAGTGCTATAGAATGTCTTATTACTTGAAGGACACTTGAAGATTAAGTATGGTAGTTACTGCCACTGAAAACAGACTCTTTTCCTCTTGTGTGTTATTGATTCTGTGTCATAAGTTAAAAAATTCTAAATCTGAAGTCGAGCCCTGTGACTAAAACATTAACTTAATGAGTGATTAGAATCTGAGAGTTATTCATCATTACAATCTACCATGCATGTTCTGCCAGACTGTAAATCTACCATCTGTTGATGGTGAACACTATTATTAGCAATCTATGAAACATAATTTTATTGTTTAAAAATATAGCTAATATTATTGCAGTTCCAGATTTCAATGTTTTGCAAAAGTCAGAAATATTCTATAGATACTTTACATGTTAAAATTTATTATAAAAAATATTGAAAATAATAATCTGGGGGCTGTTTTGCACTACGGGTAATAGGTAAGCTTATTTTCAATATTGTTTATTTTTTATAAATCTAGTGCACTGAGGTAATTTCAGCATCTTGATAAAGACCATTGTGTGGTCGAAACATTGATCTGTTAATGCAAATTTGAACACATTTTTTTCATTTTTGTCATCAAACCCAGTGAGTGCTCTCATCATTTCTGGGACTGCTTTATTTGTTTATGTATATATTTAATATTTTGTAAAGAAAAAAAATAGTGTTAGGAATAAGAACAAGTATTCCTAACACTATAGTCCTGGCAAAACGTTGCACAAATCAGCATGCCCACATAAAGATACATTGAATCAATGCATCTCTTTGGGGAGTGTTCAGCATATCCATGTTTAACTTGGACACAATGAGTGTAGTTGAAGCACACTTTGCTGCACTAGATTAGGAAGAACCTCTAGTGGCTGTCTGAATGATGGACACTAGAGGTGTTCCTAGGCAGAAATGTAAACAATGCCTTTTCTCTAAATGGTAGGGGTACAGTGGGAGATTGCTGACCTAGGCAGGTGGGAGTATATAGCATCAGTGTTTCCTAGTCCCTATCCTACTCCTACTGTGTGCATACCTCCTCTTCCTCCAAACGTGGTGCCCTGTTAGTTGGGAAGGAGTTACCTAAATTAACTTCCTGCTAGCAGGCTGTGGGGCAACTAACAAAGTGAAAGGGGCACTGTTATAGTACCTGATTGAGTTTCACTCGTTGATAAATTACAAATATTATTATTATTATGATATTTATAGAGCGCCGTCAAATTCCGCAGCGCTTTACAATGGGTGGACGAACAGACATGTAGTTGTAACCAGACAAGTTGGACACACAGGAACAGAGGGGTTGAGGGCCGTGCTCAATGAGCTTACATGCAAGAGGGAGTGGGGTAAAATGACACAAAAATGTAAGGATAGTATTAGACTGGTGACAGTTGTAGAAGAGGAATCAGTCAGGAGCTATTAACAATTTAATTGAAACGCTTTTATGAAGAAGTGGGTTTTTAACGATTTTTTGAAGGAGTTGAGACTGGGTGAGCATCTAACGGAGGAGGGAAGCGAGTTCCACAGGAACGGTGCAGCCCTCGAAAAATCTTGAGGTGGGAGTACGGACAGAAGATAGACGTAAGTCTTCAGCAGATCGTAAGGGCCTAGACTGGACATACTTGTGTATAAGGGAGGATAGATAGGTGGGAGCAGCATTATATAGAGATTTGAAAGCAAAAACCAGAATTTTAAATTGAGCTCTGTATTTTATAGGAAGCCAATGTAGGGACTGACAGATGGGTGAGGCATGGGAGGTGCAGGCGGACAGGAAGATGAGCCTCACCGCCGCATTCATTATGGACTGTAACGGCGCAAGTTGGGAGCATGTAAGACCACTGAGAAGTGGATTACAGTAGTCAAGGCGAGAAAGGACAGTGGAATGGACCAACAACTTAGTCGCATCTGGCGTTGAGATGGAAATGACAGGATTTGACAATAGATTGAACATGAGGCTTGAAGGAGAGATCGGAGTCAAAGAGAACACCTAGGCAGCAAGCCTGTGTGGTGGAGCTGATGGTAGCACCGTAGACTTGGAGGGAGACATACACAGGAGTAACAACACTTGAGGGAGGAAAGACCAGAATTTCAGTTTTGGTCAAGTTTAGTTTAAGGAAGTGGGCAACCATCCAGTTAGAAACAGCAGAGAGGCAGTCAGAGACACTAGTCAAGAGGGACGGGGAGAGATCAGGAGAGGACAGGTAGATTTGCGTGTCATCTGCATAGAAATGATATTGGAAGCCAAAGGAGCTAATGAGTTTACCAAGGGAGGCAGTATAGATGCAGAACAGTAGGGGACCAAGGACTGAACCTTGGGGGACACCAACAGAGAGGAGTTGGGGAGAAAAAGCAGAGCCAGAGAGAGAAACACTGAAAGAGCGCTGGGAGAGGTAGGAGGAGCACCAGGAGAGAGCAATATCTTGTAGACCGATATTGCGGAGGATGAGAAGAAGCTGTTGATGATCAACAGTGTCAAAAGCCGCAGCCAGGTCAAGGAGAATTAGGATAGAGTAGTGACCATGAGATTTTGCAGCAAGTAGATCATTGGATAGTTTGGTCAGTGCCGTTTCCACAGAGTGCTTAGCGCGGAAACCAGACTGAAGCGGGTCTAGCAGAGAGTTGGACTCGAGGAAGTCTGTCAATCTCGCATACACAATTTTTTCAAGGATCTTGAATGCAAAAGGCAGTAGCGAGATAGGACGATAGTTGGATGGGGAGTTAGGGTCAGGATTGGGCTTCTTTAGAATTGGGGCTACAGATGCATGTTTTAAGGGCAATGGAAATATACCAGAGGACAGAGAGAGATTGAAAATTTTAGTGAGAGGTGGAGCAAGAGAAGAAGACCGAGTACGGATGAGATGCGAGGGAATTGGATCTAGGGAGCAGATATTTACAAGAGGTAGAAGAACCAGTGGCAACAAACCATCTGATTACAGTGTTACCCAATAAATAAAATTTTCACCTGGCATACTAAGTCAAATACGTCTGAACAAAGCGTTCGGAAATCTTATTAAAATTGCAAGCCAAGTAGACTTTTATTCCTTATTCTGGTGACTTAATTAAAATCTTGGTATTAACCATATAAAATGTTAGAAACCAGAAAATGTAAGTTGGAACTTTTTATTTATTTGTTTCATATTTTTACTTGTCTATCTTAAATAAAAAAAAATATATAAATATTTAGGCATTTTATGCTAGACTAAAGGAAAGTCCAGCATTTTATCAAGTATCCATCTGCTAATGCACAATATTATGTTTTTTTACATATCTGAAAAGAGACATGCATCCATCAAGTTCAACCTTTCTCACATTTGTTTTTGCTGTTGATACAAAACCCCATTCTGAAGCACTTCCAATTTTGCAAAAAAATTTGAAAAATTCCTTCTTGACCCCAGAATGGCAGTTTATCTCCTTGGGTCAAGAAGCTATTATTAAGTCTTTTATTATAATTATTTATATTAAAAAAAATAGCAAAATCACAACTTCTAATAAAATGCAACTAATCATTTGTATTCACTAAATTAGGAATTGATTAGGAAATAACACATTTTTAAACTAATCTAGCCCAATGGGAAATAAGTGATATTGAGAATTTTGCTTATTGTAGTACTAAATGATCATTTTTTTTTGTTAATTTCTCAGAAATTTCTGTTTTGATCCATAATCCTAAATTTGTTTTACACTATAGAATATAACCAATTAATTTACAAAACTAATACAAATCCAATTAAAACATGGATGCTCAACTTTTGGAAGTTGAGAACCATTTTAAAAATGTGGTACATGTCACAGGTCACACAATTTTATATACAATACAATAGCATTGAAAGAAGGGAAAGATTCTGTTCACAAGAACAATGATACTGCCTATTTTATTTTTTACTGTCAATGTTAAGTGTCATTTTTGTGGTAGCTGTGGGGCAGTGCCCCAAATGATGATCAATAATCTTTCTCCTCAAGTTCCACTCTTGTCACATGCATTCTTAAATTGACAAATGTTATCTTTTCTAGATACTCTTGGTAAAATTACTCAGGTATGAGTCACACTGAAGGTCAATGATTTTCATTCAAAGGTCCCCTGCAAACTCCATCACATTCACAGAGAAGGGCTTAGTTAAGCACGGTACAATAGTTTCTCTGTAAAATACTTTTTTGTGTACTCATTGAGAAGCTGAGCTTTTAATTATAATTTTGCAAAGACCCCTAATGGTGACCTTGCCTCTTGCGGAAAATGTGTGCTTCTTAAAGATTTTATCTTTATGAAATACTTATTTTTTGGGGGGATAGAGGTGTGATAAAGCCACTTTGGAAAAAATAAAAATAAAAAAAAAATGCTCTAAATCTATGCAAAAATACTTCAGATAATCTGGAATAAGTATAAAACCTAATGGCTAGTAACTGTAATTTAATATTTATTTTAAAATCAAGCTTCAAGTGCAAGATTTCACACTTAATCTCTTTCCCTCATGCTTTTAATCTCTAATTAATAGACCATGTCAGTCTCTCCTTCTTTAGCCTTGAATGATGATCAGATGATCTAATTCAGCTATGTTCACCAACCTTTGTATAAATAAATACGTTTACCGAGATTGTTTCCTTCAGATTTTACCAATTTTTGACAGAATCTGTATGGATCTATGTCAATTTGTAAACACATACCACACTGTTATATATATATTACTGCATTTTGTATACCAAGGAAATAGGCACACTATCAGTAATAGAGTTATCCTGACACGCAATCCTGAAGGAAACAGTAAAGTTACACTTACCAGTCCTTAGAATGGCCGGGTTAGTACCTGACATTGATATATAAAAGGTCTGCAAGCAGACAGAGAGCAAACAAGAGACAGGCTGAGGTCAGGATAACAGAAATACATAGAATTGATAGCCTGGCCAAGATCAGGATAATAAGAACAAGAATAGTTACACAAGCCGAGGTCCGAAAACAGGAAATCCAATACACAGTATAAACACACTCTCTGATAACAAGAACCATGACAGGTCAAAGAAACAAGAACATCCACAGGCAATATATATACCCTGTACTGCGTTGTGATTGGTCACAGAAGACCATGATGTCACAAGTATGTTCACATTATCAAAAAGCGACTCATGGGCTGACACTAAAAATGGAGACTAATGATAAGGGACCAAGGGACAGGTATAGTGACACATACATATAAGATTTTGAAAAATAATTAGGTTCCACATTTAGTTCCTACGTACCATGAATGTACGTAGGAAAATACCTAAATGTATAAGATGTAGAGATGTGCACAGGTGCAAAAAATACAAATTTCCTTTGGTTTAAATGATTCATTTTCAGATATGGGGTTGTCTGAAAATAGGGAAAATTTTGTTTCAGAAAAACAGTAATTCAGAAATTTAGGCACCTATTAAGCTTTATAGGGGACAATTGACGATTGCAGGATGGCAGTCAAGAAGTTAAAGTTGATATAAATAGTATGAAGTGGAGCACTTAACAATTGGTATACAAGCAGATATATTTATACACAAAAATATACAATGATATAGAATGTGTAGCTAATGTGCAGTGGAGCAAAAAATATTGTGCTATACACCAGTACATATAAATCCAGATGCACATTGGTATACTTGTACATCAAGGATGATATTTTATAACAAGTAAGATGATAGAGCACATATAGTAAGGGTATGTCACAACAGCAGCAATAGGTAGAATGTAACCGGTTAATAAAAATATAAAAGCAACATAGCACAGACTGTATTAAGTGGTATCCATGCAGGTAATGCAAAGGACCCTCACATATTCAAGAGCCCTTCAGGTCAGCTCTGAACTCAGTAGATATAGTACCCCACTCAGATTGGTGTTTTGTAGACGGTCCCAGCATGGTAAATCTCCAAAATTGAAGTTCAGGAACCAATTGGAGGTAAATATAATACTTTATTACATAAATAAAAACATGACAAACTAGGGGATAAAAAGGGGGCACAACACATTTTGACCGCTGTCGGCCTTCCTCAGGTGCAGATGCATTGTGCCCCCTATTTTATCCCCTAGTTTGTCATGTTTTTATTTGTCTACTGAGTTCAAAGCCGACCTGAAGTGCTCTGGATTATGTGAGTGTCCTTTGTATTATCTGCACGGATCTCACTTTATACAGTCTGCGCTATGTCACTTTTATGTTTTTGCTAACAGGTTACATTCTACCTATTGCTGTTTTTGTGACATACCCTTACCATTTGTGCGCTATCACCTTACCTTTTATAACAATTTTATGTATGTATACATGTTTTTATGGCATAACACCTGGGTGAATTTTTGCTGCAATGGTTTTTGGTATTATTGTGGCACCAGTTATCTTTAAACTTTTTCCTTTATTTGATATTTGATAATATTGACTCAATCCGATATCATAAAGGAGTATACATTTAAAAGAAAATGGAAAAAAAAACATAAAAGTGCAATTCTGCCAGAGATATAATAAATAAAATGTTTAAAACTCTCACTCATGTCATGCTGAGCTTACTATACAGCATACATGCAGGCACCAGGATTCTAAATAATATTAAGCAATCATGATAATCCATATACAAATGTTATTGAACACACAAATGTAAAAAGAAAAGAAATACAAGCCTCTTGACTGACTCCTGTGATGAGTATACTGCAACCAATAGGTTGTCACTCATAAGTATTTAAGTCACAAGTGAGTCCTCAAAGGCTTTTTGTGGGATTGTCCAGTGCCTGCTGTCACTATATTCTGCCTACGTATTTCACCTTCCTGCATGAAAAAGATCTCAGTTGAGATAATACTGTTGCATGTTTGTCCTGATTTTCAAATAAAACTGCTGCATAATTAATCCTGATTCCTGAGTTCCTGGATTACATTTATTGTTTAACCTCTGGAGTGGGGTTAGCCAGCCCCAGATCTGAATGCTTCAGATACGAGTGTGAATTCCTCCTTTTGTTTGTTCATTTCACCTTCCGGATTAGTTAGGGCATATTATCTCTGCCTTGTAAAATTCAGACTGTTGGAGCTAAAAACCAACTGTTTCAGTCTTTGATCACTTTTATTTATTCATAAAATGACATCTACGTAGGCATTCATAATACAAGTAGCAAATTGTAATACATACTTAAATACAGAAAAACATAATGAAAAATCATTATAAACTCTCAGAATTAAAAGCCAAAAGTAGAGAAATAAGGTAGCAATCACAGCAACAACACAGGCAGCCAGTGGGGAGAAACATCACTTTTAAAGAGATAAGGGAAAAACTAAACTAAACAAAACAAAAAAATAATAATAATCTAATTTTTTTTTTGAAATAGACATAACAGTGAAAGGGGAGTTTTAGTAGACAGTTGATGACCACTCACCTGTCTGAGTTCCTGGGTAAAGCATCAGTCCACTAGCTCTCCTGAGCCACACTCTGCAGTGCAGGGCTGTCTCTTTGGCTGAGAGCATCAGATGATCACTCTCGGCCAATCCACTAACCCCTGTACCACCAAATATAGCTTAGAACTTTCCATATCAACAAGCAAAATTAAATATAAAACATTGACTCTTGACATGAAATAAGTAGAATGTGGAGACGGAGCCAGACCGCTATGCTGAACAGTCACACAACAGAGTAGCTCCTGCAACCTTCTTTATTTCTAGCTCCAAAACATCGACTTAATACTTACCTGATGACTGACAGCTGTGACCCAGTGCAAGCAGACACCCTGGTCCTGAGGAGAGGCTTGCTGTAAAGTTCTAGTCCCTTGGAGAAGTGCTCTCTGACATCCAAGACTGGATTCCCTTGGACGGTTAGTGGGGTGCACGGTGGCTGCCCTGCTATCCTGCCTACTAGCGGCATGCCAGCAGCACAAGGCTTAGTGGTCCTGGCCCTGTTCCCCCCCCCTCTGGACTGGTGGGGGTGATCCCGGTCCCCACCCTGTGGCCCCTATGCGTGCAAAGCCACCAGCACTCCGAGCTGCCACAGGGCCGACCCAGGGCTCAGAGGCCACATCCAAAATGGCGGGGACCGCGTGTCAAGCCACCTATACAAGAGGGAAGACTGATGCTCCCCCCTCACTTGGCTCCAAAATGGCTCAACAGGAATCGGCGAATATCACCTAGGACCCCACATGGAATACAGGGCCCGGTCCTGGGATGAGACAAGTTATGGCAGAGAAGCCAGAGGCACACCACATCAACATAAGCAGCATCACAAGTGACCAGCGGAGGCCTGCGCCTGCAATTTATTAACCAAGCATTAACCAAATAGGCCTACAGAATGAAACACCGCTCCAGCGTCCTAGCCTTACCTGCCATACCTCCCAAACCACCGTGTGGGAGCCAACAAGCATAGACCGACTGCCTGCAGTTGCAATATTGCACCCGAAGATCGGCAAGGCTATTGGGTTCTGTATCCTGCCCGTGGCAGACATTTGACCGACACGCAAGGCAAACACATGGGGACTACCACTCTGACACTCATATGAATTACTGCAATTACAGCAGTTTCCAGGCTTTTGCTGCCGCGACTGAGGCTAAGTTGCACATGGGCGCCTACACCCAAACGGGACTGTGAAATGCCTCTGGAGGGTATTGGCTGACTGGGACACTCGAAACTGCTGCTGAGTCAATCGTCCCATGCCTCATACTGCCTCTGTACGTAACTGATGATGACCCATTGTTTTTGCTTGTGATTTTGTGTTACTCTTTCACTTTTATATTATTTTTATATCTGCCACTTAGATCACTTCTCCTTGTTAGCAATGAGGACATACCTCACATCAGGCACCAGCACTGGGGTCCCCCCAGGCGATAAACTCCCTACCCCTCAATTCTGCTACCCAGCTGTCTGCTACAGCTAGTTTTTCTGTATTACCCTTCTTAGACCATACAAGGGATCACAGGGGGGTATCACTCTAAGTTAATCGACTACATACTAATTGTACCTATACATAGTCTAGCTCACATTCAGGCAAGTTTAACATTTTTATTTTTATTCTTATTCAGCACTAGTCTAGATAGTTAAACCTCAAGTCAGAATATGTGATATGGTCAGTGTAGACCTGTATCCCATGGTGACCTACAGTATAAGGCAGTCAGGCACTCAGTGGAGGGCATAGGTTGAGCAATGCAAAAATCATAGGTGGCACACCACAGAAAGAGTTAAAGATTTAATTGTCTTTGTACGGTGCATTTACCTAACCAGGGATATAAACTTAGTTGCTTTACAGCAAAACATCAGTTAAACTTCACACATTTCTAAAAACCAAGTCAGTTACTAAGCTTAGTTAAGCATCTTTAGTACAAGTCCTGACTCACTTTACACTATTGTTTACTCATCCTTATATTAAAAACAAAGTGCAACATTATTCATGTCAAACGAATGTTCTTCTATGTATATTGAAAAGCTGGCAACAGCTGTTGTAGCATTGTGAGCTAATATGTGATGTATTATCTATGCACGAAAAATAAAGAATAAAAAAAAAGGATTACAGAAAGGCTAGTGAAGAAAATAAAACTGGTATGACAGAATCAAAGTGTAGTAAGAGAACTGAAACATGTGTGAAATGTTTGCAGTTGTTCTAAATGTGAAATAGATCAATAGAAAACTAACAGGTAAGCACATATAGTTAACAAGTAGAAACAAGACCAGTAAAGATGCATCAATAAAGCTTTCATTATGTCTTTTTGTTGTTGTTTTGCAAATGTTAACACTGTAATTAAAAACACACCATTTCTAAAAAGATTAAAAATTAATAAAAAAGCAGACTGTGTGAATCAAGAATTATCTATCAAAATGTATCTAATATCAATGTATAATTAAAACTATTAACATTATGATTGCATCAAGTTTTTGATTATTCTCAAATTATTTATCTAAACAAATTTTAGTCTTGTATCTCCAAAGATCTTGTTTCGGGCAAACTCAAATTCAGCAAAATTGGGGCATATCGGGGGAATGGACAAAATTTTGATTTCCAAGCAGCCAAGTGCCAGTATCTTGGGGGGAATTTACTTACACCTGTCCGAACATATTCGGTTCTTCATTTTCAGTGCTGTTCCTGGAATCAAAAAGAGGAAGAATGGAATAAAAAAGGTGTTGTCTTAGGGAAGAGCCACTAAATGTTTATTTTACTCATAGATCAATTGACAACTGACCAATAGAAGGGAAAAAGGAGGAGCAATAACTGTGGGTGACAGACCAGCATTGATATGGTGTGCTTTACCCTTGCTGTGCCTGTGGTTGAGATAAGATGGATTATTGATTCTAGAGTGAGACTTTCTTAGCTTGTTTCGATAGCTAGCACTGCCAGGGACACTTGAAATAATTATTTGTTGGGGACTGTTGTCAGTTTGTCATAAAGTGAGAATATATTTAAATTATTTATCTTTTCTTGTGCATAGATAGTATAAACAGGCTGGCAATGCCAGAACAGCTTTTGCTAGCTTTCCAGAAAACATAAGGAGACAATTGCATGGTGAAACAATGGTGTGACATATGAAATTTGCACAATGTTTTGGATACATAGAGAACTCGAGTTAGGCCATTTCATTTGTGGATACATTCCCTATTATGAACCTGAAATTAAGCCACTTTTTTCATTTATGCAAGAAAGCAAAATATTACAACCATCGTAAAACTAAGTTCTCTCACTTTTTTTAATATCGAAATATAATTGTTAGTTTGGCCATTCAGAATTGGCAATATCAGCTAATATTAGATAGCCATTACGGAATGCCATATTATAGCTGTTTTTCCATGTCACCACACTTCTATTTTTTCTAAATATTTTTCCTTCATAAATTGCGTTCCTGAAATGTTCTGCGGTATTGAGACTGGACTAAGCCAAACAGGAGCATGAGATAAATTCTTTCAACCCTAAAAAAAAAAAACAGAAAAAAACTTTTGCACAAGTTGTTCAAATCACTGAAATTTGTAGCCTGACACAAAGCTTGACAAAGACCTCTTGGTCGAAATATTGCTGCTCTTTCACTTCTTCTGATCCAATAAATCTGCCTGCGACTTGAACACCTTAAGTGCCTGGAGATTTTTTAAAAAAAATTTTTTATCTGCCTAACAATTTTTCTGTGACCAAGCATAATAGACTTTAAGAAATTAACCCAAATTTAAAAAATATAAACCTATCAAAGAGTAATAACCATTTAATAACTGCATATGCAACAAAGGTAAACATGACTATTGAAGTCATCTTTATCATCTTTTATATAACATTTTCTTCAGTGTTGTACATTCATTAACATATAAAATTGCATTTCAATGATAATGATGTTTATAGCACAATCTTCTATACAGAGTGTTCAAAAATGCCATTGAACTTGAATGCAAAAATGGTTGTGCTTATTATGCGTGAAATACCATATTGAACAATGGCATACAGGTAAACACATTTTTTAGTTTTTTTCAGTTTTTATTTTAATGTTAAACTACATAACAATATTGTTTTGGATGCTAAGATGTATTTATTGTGAATAACTTACTTAGAGTCTTGATCACTTGAGATTTTCATTTCTTCTAGATCTTCAGGAATTGCTAATTGAAGACTCCATTCTCTTGAGTTATTGATAAAATAACACCTGTGATTACACTGCAGGCTAAAACACAATACTTGACTTAGCAAGTGGTTTTCACTCTAATAAAGGCCATTGAAAAACAACATAGAAACAGAATATGTTTGTGCTGGATACAACTCATGCTATTTTAAGGTTAAACACTACTTTAAGATATGCAGAATAAATAATGGTTCAGGCACTCCGGGATAACAAAAAATATCAGCTTTATTGGAGCAAATTCAGCAAAGTTTTGACCCTATAGGGTCTTTATCAAGCTTGATAAAGACCCTGTAGGGTAGAAACATTGCTGTTTTTGCACCAATAAAGCTGCTTGTTATCCCAGAGTGTCTGAACTGTTATTTATTCTGCATATCTTGGAAGGGAGGCCTGGCCAGCCTTGGTTTCAAAGCACCTGGGTTACTTGGTGAGTGTGGTATCCAGTATGTCCCCAAACATTACTTGAAGGGCATGCTGTGCAGCATACACACTATAGCTAACTGTAGTTCTATGATTTTTATTTATAAGTTAATAAGATGTGTGTTTTATATTCTGTCACTGAACACCTTTGCTAGATTTCAATGGGAATTCATCCCCTACTCCATACATTTGTAGTTCATCCCCTTTAGTGTTATTGTTATCTCTTTTCTTGTAAACACCCAGTACCATACTGCGCATGCATGCAAGAAATTCAATGTCTCCTCTGGCTTATTTTTGTTAAAACACTACGGGGATCTATGTTGATGATTTGGAAACAAACATTTAAAATACATAATTACAAAATCTGTTCTTGGTATATGTCATTTATGACCCTGTAGGATTCAGATATCTTTAAATGTTCTAGCACAACTTATTAAAATGTAGGAAATGAATACATGTTTATTTTACCTTGATTTTAGCTCTACTTCTCACATATATGTCTGCACCATTTCAATGTTTATTATTTTGACAATGGTCCCTGCTGAAGACCAAAACATTGATCTGATGATTTGAGTTTGTGAATTGAAAAAAAGTCCCATGCATGATCTTCAACTGAGGACTATAAATATCAACATGTGCTGTCTAACTTTCTTTTTTGATATTTCAACAACTGATGCCACCAGTTACTTTATTTCTCAAGGAATCCACTGCACTGAGATAATTAAATACTATTGTAATTGTAGATATTAGTTGCAACTTATTTATTTTGTATAAGAATAAACAATCAAGAGTCAAACGTAGCTATTATTTGAACATTTCAAGAAACTTGTATCCATTGGCTGTATATGTATTGACTGTTTAGTTAAACGTTACGTGTACAAGTTGGATATTACGTGAAATTTTATGCAGAGTGTAAGAACCAATTTTCCATCTTCTCCTTTAATCCTCTTTTCTATTATCCAACATCTCTTGCCCTGCAAGACCTCTAATTTCACCCCGATTGATAACATTTGTTAACATGACTCTAGTGAGGGCAGTCCAGTCATTTTTGTGATCAGCTATTTAACACACAGTAAAGGGAATTAATTTAGCTGTGAAATGTGTGTTGTAAAGTCCAGGCACAACACATAATTCATTCCTCCCTCTGTATCTATAACGTATTACTTACAAATAAGATGTGATTTACATCTGAGTCACCTAGTCCTTGTAGGAATACAATCTTTTTAGGTTGGCAAAATGTTATAAGAGTTATTTAGACAGATAAAGGTATGTTGTTTACCTCTGAAAAACATAGAATAATAATTTACATTTAATCAGTCATTTTAATTTGGTAATCTTTTTTCAAATAACCTGCACGTTAAAGAAACACTATAGTCACCTAAATTACTTTAGCAAAATAAAGCAGTTTTAGTGTATAGATCATTCCCCTGCAATTTCACTGCTCAAGTCACTGTCATTTAGGAGTTAAATCACTTTGTTTCTGTTTATGCAGCCCTAGCCACACCTCCCCTGGCTATGATTGACAGAGCCTGCATGAAAAAAAACTGGTTTCACTTTCAAACAGATGTAATTTACCTTATATAATTGTATCTCAATCTCTAAATTGAACTTTAATCACATACAGGAGGCTCTTGCAGGGTCTAGCAAGCTATTAACATAACAGGGGATAAGAAAATTTAATTAAACAGAACTTGCAATAAAGAAAGCCTAAATAGGGCTCTCTTTACAGGAAGTGTTTATGGAAGGCTGTGCAAGTCACATGCAGGGAGGTGTGACTAGGGTTCATAAACAAAGGGATTTAACTCCTAAATGGCAGAGGATTGAGCAGTGAGGCTGCAGGGGCATGTTCTATACACCAAAACTGCTTCATTAAGCTAAAGTTGTTCAGGTGACTATAGTGTCCCTTTAACCTAATTCGACCTCTAGTCTTATTAAGATTGAATACTTTAGGATATTTTTAAATATGATTTTTTGGAATGATTATGACTGAGTCAACTGAGATAATGTGAAAAATATTAAGGAGCCTTAAATGACCTTTAGCAGACTTTTAACAATACAGTTAAAGTTTATTATTCAAAAGAAAAGCAAATAATTGCTTTTAATACTTATACAAAATAATACATTTGTACTTGCCTGATGTTCTTATTCGACTAATGATCTTTCCAACCATAACTAGAATTTAGCATAATGAATGCAAGGAATGTGGTCTTTTTTTTTTTTGTTGTTTAAAAAAAAATACTTCTCTTTTCTTGCAGCCACCATTGTCCATTAAGTCTATCGTTGTCCAAGTTCAGTGCATAAATAAAAATGTTGGTAGTATCATTAACCATGAAGTGCGCATAGTAGTAAGAGACAAAAATGACAATCCACCCCGTTTCCAGAACCAAAGCTACTACACTGCTGTAAATGAGGTAAGCTTTTTGCCATTCTAAATATAATGTAAATTAATTTTTCACAAAAATTGCATTAAGCTAAGGCATTAAGGATGACATTATGGTTCTGCAAAGCTAAAATTATAATTTGTGTGTTAATGAATATATGTTGAATATAATGTTGCCTTGTATCTTATGAAAAACCTGTAACCGCAAATGTATAATAATAAATTCCTCAATGTGAAGATATATTTGAAGTAATTATTACATGTATATAACCAAAATTGGGTTTGCAGATGACTTCCAAAATGACAACATAATGCTTTAGACTGCAAATGCATTCAAATAATTAAGAAGTAGTAGATAAATGAATGACTAACTGATACCAAATATGTAACAACTTGCCTACTGTCATGGCAACTGTATATTTGATGTCATCTTCCAAATAACAGTGGCTGAACCACTGTTTTTGTACATTAAACCTTCCAACCTATTTGGATATTATCTGTCACCGCTCAGCAACTTTAGAGAGATAGAACAACACTTGGGACACTTAGAATCCTGGCACGTGCACATGTCCTACTCATGCAAGCATACAGCACACCTGCCAAAGAACACAAGTCCCTCTCTTTCTCTGAAACCATGCTTAACATAATAATATAATAATAACAGTAGCATAACATAAGGTTTAACATAACAATACTACCATAACAATAAGTGACGTATAAGTTGTTACACCTACTTTAAAGAGACACTGCTTAAATAAAAAAAGTCAGTATTTAGAATATATACACCTAACAAAAACCTGCATGCATTTAATTATTCATTTGGGGTATATCTATATATAAAAAAAATCTTGCAAGTCCTCCACCACTTTCCCAGCCCAGACACTTATTTTTCTGAATTTATCTTCTTTATTTAAATTTTCTTTTGTACACGTATAATAACAGGAAACCTTAAACAAAAAAGAAAAAAAAACAACACAGTAATTAAGACAATGATTAAACTAGTGTTGTATACTAAAATCATATGGGTGATTTAAATGTCTTGTATATCATTACTTAGAATCCCTCTGTGCTGCAATGAATACTCTAGTTCTCAACTATCAGACTTTTAAAAGACAAAATGCATAACGTGTGGGAGCAGAGTGACTCTTTCCACTGTATATATAGAAGAAATTCTTAGTTTTTAAAGCAATGCAGCATAAGGTAAAAGATCAATCTTCTTTATTATGCTTTCTCAAGTATTCTAATTTCCAAAATGATTGAAATAATATCTATAAATATCACACTCCATTTTACCCTGATAAAATATCTGATCCTTAACCTCATTCCAGTTTGGGGCTTTAGGTTTCTTCCAATTACTAGCTATTAACAATTTAGATTGTCTTAAGACATGTTTTAGCCAGCATTACATTGGGCATATCTAGCCATCATAAATGTAATACAACAACTTCTGGGGAAAAAGCCTTTGGGATCAAACATAATCTCCTTAGCCTGTCTGTATATCATATTCTAGTCTTAATTATAGGGCAATTCCAACAGACATATATATAGTCTGCTCAAAATTGGCTACATCTCCAGCAGGAAGGGTCAGAGGAGGGATATATTGGCTAGCCTATTAGAGATCATATATCATCTTTTTACCACCTTGAGGAAGTTTTCTGGAATATTTAATGCAGTGTGCCCAGGAGTTAACACTTGTAATTTACTTTTGCATGTCTATCTCAGTAATTGGTAAATTTAGATCTCTTTCCCACATATAGAAGTTATTCCTGCTACTTGTTGGTGTAATGGAGCTAATAAACTGTATATACTTTTAAATTGTTCCTGTGAGTGCTGTCTGTGAAAGAAGATTTGTCAATAAATCAACAGACTCTGACTTTTCAATAAATAGTTGCTTACTAAGAAAATATTTACTTGAAGGTAAGTAAAGATGGCCTTACTAGGGAGGGAGAAGTCATTTTGCAGTTGTCAAGAATGTTTTATATATCTCTTGCCACAAAGATCCTCTATTATTTTTTATATCCATGTTTTCCAAATGACTTATATTCAGGTCTTAAACATAGACAGTTCATTGCCTTATCATATGTTTTGAGCTTGTGTTTGACTGTGCTCCAGTAATGCCATAATGATCTAAAAGTAGAGATTTGTAAATAAAATATGCAATCTGAATCCCCATATTATTTATCAGCATTCTGCACAATTAAAAAGAGAGGTTATATTGTAGGCATCTCCAAGGGATCTGACTCTATTTCATTTCTACATTGTTATTCCTATTTTAGAATATGGGCCATCATGCATGCATACTGGTTTTCAAAGATATTAGGGACACCAAGTCCCTCCATTTGTAATTTCAGATTGATGTTGCAAGCTAATTCTAGTTTTTTCCGCTGTCCAAATGAAGTGGTTTAAAGTGGTTTGTATCATTTTAAGGTTATTAGGAAATTGAAGTGGAAGCATACAAAATAAATAAAATAGAAACATTTTAGTACTTATTAAGCACTGAACAATTCTAGTCCCTCATATATTTCTTCACATATCCAGATCGTACCCGTACAGCCAAGTCACGCTTGCAGGACTTCTCGCGATCGGCTCCATTCCTACGGAATAGCCTGCTTACCATCAATTTTTTCCCTAGTCTTCAATCGTTTAAGAAGTGTCCTAAAACCCATCTCTTTAGGAAAGCTAACAACTACCTCACATACCTGTTTCTTGTTCTCTCCTAAAGGGCAGCACTTTACTCTCTCCTCCAGCTCTGCTTCACTCCCACCTTTTTTGATTGCTATTTCCTGTCCTAATGTGTTTTATACCCCACCACCTATACTGTAAGCTCATTTGGGCAGGGTCCGCTTCAACCTATAGTTCCTGTAAGTTTTCTTGTAATTGTCCTATTTATAGTTAAATCCCCCCTCTCATAATATTGTAAAGCACTACAGGATCTTTTGGCACTAAAGAAATGGTGATAATAATAATAGTAGGGTGTATACTTAATGATATTAATCCTTCCAGTCTAAGAAACATCTTTTTTTTTTTTTTTTTAGTGTTTCATTGTTTTGTTTGTGTGTTTTATTAGTGGGAGAAAGTAGACATACATTTCTACTAGAGGGTGCCATGAATTTAAACCTTAAATAGCTAAGGTATTTTCTATGCAGATTAAATCATACTTATCCATTATATAAATTTTATCCTCTAATGATTTCAAAATCTGCCAAAATTATGTATCATATCCATGAGCTAATCGATACATAATCTAGGGTGTTCTAAAGTGAAGAGTGTGTCATCTGCATACAAACTGATCTTTAATTGTCAGACCTTAAGTAAAACAATCTTTCATGCATAGGTTGATTCTAATATCCCACACAAGAGATTCTGTATGTATAGGAGTTGGGGTGTGGAGTTAGGGGAACAGTTGCCAACTATATATATGCTATTTTAAATTATCCCCAATGGTGTACACAACTCTACTTTTTGTGAGTATGTGAGTATATCCCATA